CAGCAGGAAGCTTTTTTTAAAATGCTGTTTCCAAGATATCTTCTGCTTTCCTGTCAGGCAGGGAATCTCATTTCCCAGTCAGCTTGTTCTCTCCTGTACTGTGCTGGTTGGAGGACTGGATCATGGAAAGGACCAGAGCTGCTGTTTTTAGCACTTCAGCATATAAAACAAATGCTTTTTGCCTTGCAGTGTGTATGGAGTTGGAATCGGTGTGCTCTTATGCATTACCGTTGTAAGAGAGACACGGAGTGATGCGAGGGTGTGTGGGGACTCTCAGCTGTGTCTTGATAAGAAGAAAAAAGATTAAATAGGGAAGCTGATGTTGGCTTCGTGTAGTTAAAGAATCATTGCAGATTGCTGTGTGAGCCTTTGGATGTTTTTCTAATATTCTTAAGCCTCAAAAAACTGCAACTTGTTTTCTCTTCTAGGCAACATAGATGAATTTGAAGTTACACTGAAATGCGCGCACTTGGTGGAACGGATGTATACTCATATTGCTGCAGAGACAGAGGAATTCACTGTGTTTTCTGCCTTCATTGTGGCTCAGTATGTGACAGAATTGCAGAAGGTAAATGCGCTCATCCCTCTTGAAAGTGCCCTGGTAGGGGTCTGGCTTTGGAGTTGCTGTTTTAAAGGCAACTGTGTTAAGTTTTGTAAAATCCATTCCGTTATAAAATTTGCTGTGCATCGTGGGAATACACTTCTGATCCAGACTGTCAGTTAGGCTGAACAAGGATTCCTGAGGATCTTTCTCACTCAGATGCTAAAAACTTCTAAAGGAAGAGGAATGGGGGAAGGCAGAACAATACAATGCCTATTTACAAAAACGCTTTGCTTTTCCATCATGTTTTGACTGTTGCTTTTTCTTCACGTGGTAGTTCAGGTTCTTCTCCCAGCTAATCTCAGTTGTTCAGGATTTATATTATTTAGAGCCCCATCTGTCAAAGCGATGGAGAAAAAAATCCCTCAGAAAAATATTTTTTACTCTGCTCTAAATGAACTAGTGAATGGAAAAATGTTTCCAAGCCAGAGAAGTGGTGGCTTTTCAGTAATTCTTCCACACTAAAGTTAACGTTCTCATCCTTTGTGAAAATAACTGCTGCTACTATTACAGATGCCAGAGCCAGGTCAGTAGCTCCTCGCATCCAGATCTAACTTCGCATTGCTGTTCTGTCCCAGGCTAATGCATTTAGATTTCACGAGGGTTTGAGAACTGTTTGCATTGCCAGCACCTGCAAACTGATTATTTGTGCTTCTGGCTTGCAGTTGGATCAGAATACAGAGAGGAAGCTTACTCAGTATTTCTTTGCTCTCTTAGCACAAAAGTATCCTAACTGGTGTTGTGTTTTTAAAGTGTTATAGTGCAACCGATATAACTAACTATCAAGATTGTTAAGAGCTTAAACTCAGTTGCCTTTTCTATTGCTTGGCTATTTTCAAAGGTTTGGAAGCAAAATGATGGGATATGCCACTTTTTAGCTATGTTATTTAGCTTTCCTGGTGAGTCACTTATTGTTTATGTAGTACGTAACTTTGCTCAGCAAATATACTAGGGACAAACTAATGGTAAGCCTTCTTGTGCTCTAGTTAACCAGTTCTGAACTTCTCTTAATCTGCTCATTACTGAAGATAGAGCCTTTACTCAGAAAGGGAGATCTGATTTTAATTGTCCAATGATGTTTGCAAGCTAAAAGGGCACTTACTAGGCTTGAGCACAAAGTTCTTGTGAGACTTTTAGGAAAGTTTTATGTAAAACTTCCACTTATACGAAATAAGTGATTGATGGTAGTTGAAACCACAGATCCTTTTCAAGGATCTCCAAACTAAAACTGATGAAAGCTACTGGCATAAAAATAGTCCCTTACTCCTAAGTCTAGTTCTGGAATGGTTCCTCCTCCTGAAAAATCAGTGCTTCCTCTTTATTACCGTGAAATATATTTTCTTGTGAATTGTTCAGTGATAACCTAGGAGGAATCTTTGCTGACGCGGGTAGCGTCTATAGCCTCTTTCATACTGTTGACAGCGCTTTTCCCATGTTATCTCTGAGCTGTTGCTTAATTCAGCAGAAGCGAAATACCTCTTCACACGCTTAATGTCTCCCATCAAGAGCGCTGTAACGCCTGACAAATTGGTTGCACTAACTGTATAGATCATAAAACATTTATAAGCATAATTAACTGCCAGCTAGCAGTGACAGCTGTTTAAATCTTTGGTTCTGCTTCCTGTGGTGCTATTGGATGGTGTTTAGGGGAAGCTGCTCTGCAAAGCAAGAATGGTCCAAATAAGACGCGGGTCCAGATTAATTTGTGGTGTGAGGGATGCAAGTTCCATTAACTGCAGCTCTGAGGTGTCTGTTTATACCAAGAGGGACATCTCGTCCTGCCTTGTCAGTAGCTGTGGGTTTTCCGGTCCTCGTTCTCTGCAGTCGTTTCTCTATGCTGGAAAAAGAGAGGCAAGCACAACGCGTTCACTAAGAGTGCTGCTGCGGTTGTGATGCGCAATTGTTCTGTTACCTTAGTGCGTGGTAGGGAGAAATAACATCTTTTATTAACCTTCTACTAGATCAGCTGACGTAGGGGAAAAATGACAAGTTTTGGACATGTAAACTCCTCAGGGTCACAAATCCAAAGAAAGGCTTATGTGCCTTAATGTTTATTGTATGTTTTCCCCAGCTCTATCAGGAGATCTAATAAAATGTATCGTTTGTTCTGTGTTTAGGGCAGGACGAGCAGGAGCCTGACACAGTGGTTAGGAGGAGTTCACTTCATTAGTGGAAAGTTTATTAGTTGCCTCAGGAAGCAAGAAGTCGAATTTTAATGATAGCCTTTTATGTAATTTTCATTAGGTCTGGAGTGCAGAGGCTTAGATCCGGAGGCATAAAGCTAATTGTGGGATTCAGCACAGATAAGACGTGTTTCTGTGGCAAAAATAGTACGATTACGCCAGAGGCCAGCACCACCTAAGGCAGTGAAGCATTTAGCAAGTGGTTTGTGAGCGCAGGACAAATTCCGGTTTGCCTAGAACACCAAACGACTCCAGAGTCGGCGCTGATATTCCTGGTTGTAGTGGCTGCTCTGCTGGTTGAACGAGGTTCAGCGGGGGTAATGACGGGAGCAGGGCACTGAGTCAGAAGTTTTACTTGTAGTCCCAGTTCTTCCTTCAGCTTTCTGCATGAGTTCTGGCAAGGCACTTGATTTCCAATATTAAAGCAGATCAAAGAAATAGACATCTCCTGAGCTTTTTGGAGGCTCCTTTTAATAAAGCTTGTAAAACATTCTGAAATCATTGGATACAAATTGTTAGATAAATATTAAATATCAAGTTATTAAATGATAAAAGTTGAAATTGATTGACTACCTAATGTAAACGATAGGGTAGCCTAAAGGAAGGGCTCGTTTGAAACTAAGACTTAAGTAGCATACAGCTAATGTCTTGGTACTGTCCGGGCATGATGAGTTATACAAAAGCTATTGAAATGTGTAATCTAGGGCAAGTATTTCCGTTTTTTTAATTATAGCTTTTCTACTGAGGAGTTTTCACGTGATTTCAAGATGATCAGTGTCTTTACCTCCACAGCGGTGGAGTATAGTTGCACTCGTATGCATTTTATTGCAAGAGACGTGCTTATTTTGCAAAACATGTTCGCAAAAAATTGCATAACTTGGAATTTTGGGTTGTATCTGGTGGACGATTCCAGACGATCTGATGCATTGGATAAACATGTTGTCAGCACTTAAGGTATACCTGTTGCGGAGATGGCGTTCTCCTGCCTTTTTACCTTCAAGTCTAATGCAGTTTTGTTCTTCTCGTAGGTGACTTTGCACCCCGCAGTGAAGAAACATCTTACAGAAGGGATATATCACATCCTTGACCTTTGCATTGAACGAGACATCAAGTTCTTAAATGCGTCACTACCAGCAGGTGTAAGGGAAGTCTTTAAAGATCTGTACAATGATTACAACCACTATCACAAAGCAAAAAAACAGGGGGAGGAAAAATATACCGCATGATGAATCCTGCCCAGTGCTGCATGATCAGTTATGGTCTGATCTTGTGTAGTGCTCAGAAAATCCTCAGTTGCTGTTTGATTCAGGATGACTAGTAGGATCTGAAGGGTTTCGTTTAAACATGGATTGCGTGTATCTCTCTACAGTCAGCCTTTATAATGGGGAAGAAGGGAACCGGGAGGAGGATGTGCTGTTAGGTCTTTTTCTGCTGTCTGTCACAAGTGGCTGAATTGCTGCACCTATGCAGGCCTCGCTGCAGTCTGGCAGAGGATGTCCTACTGCAGACTTTGCAACATCATGGGACTCTGGTGGAAGCAACAGTCTGTGGTGTAAAAGCCTAGAAGGGTTAACTCCTACTCTTGCTTACATGGTAAGCAGAATTAAACACAGTTAGAGCGTGTATTTTTGTGCCATGTTATTTTACATTTGTGCTGAGGAAATGTGTGGATGTTGTACATCTGCACAGTTGGCTACTGTTACAATACTGTGGAAATACAGTAAAAAAACTTGAAAGTTTGTATCTCTTTGCTTGGTCAGTTTTGCTGTTAAGCCTAGCCCTGAGCAACCTGGTCTGACCCCTAGAGGTCTCTCCCCAACTGAATTATCCTATGATCCGATGCTAATCAAAAATATCAACTACTTACAGCTCTGGTCAATTTGCTGTCGGTAAGCAGTTACACTTAGTCATCTGAGTTGCGGTAGCTCTAGGTGTATTTTTAGCTTGTGGTAAATTCTAAGACCTAGCTGAGACCTCTTTGGGTTGGGCCAAGTTAAGCCTTGTTGCCTCAAATTCACTTCAGATTAAGAGCAACCTCTGAATTTATTGCAGCTCACCTGACAATGATTTGATAAGCTGTGGTAAACTAATAACATTTGAGCCTGTAGGAAGCTTTATCAAATAGCTCCCTTTGATTAGCCAAACTGTAGAAATTTATTTGGTTGAAAATTATGGTAGAAACTGAAGCTTCCAACTGGTAAATAACCATTTAAAAAAACTCCTTCACATGTGCCCACAGTTAGTAATAGGAACTCGTTACTCTGTCACAAAGATACCTCTAGCGTTGTTGGGTTTTCAAAATGATTATCTGCTTTAATGTATAGGGAAGGGATGGGCAGAGGAAAGACTACACTGTGGCTTACCGCTGTGTTTGAAGTGAAATATAGAAATGGCATAGGACAACCAGAGTCGAAAAGTTGATGTGGGTCAGAGCCTGGGAAGGGGAATTACTCTTGTGTTAGGTGCACGAGGCTGCGGGTGAATGAGGTGTCTGGTACCATTCAGAAGGGACATATGAATGAGTGAGGTGCAGTCAGAAGGGTGCCAGGGAGAGGAGGGCTCAAGGGTGAAGACAGTTAATGCACTAGGTAAAAGAAGCAATGTTACAAGCACTGGGAGAGGATCTGGAAAGAAGAGCGTGAAAAAGGAGAACAAGATTTGAACCAGAGGAGCAAGGAAATGAGGTAGCTTTCTGGCTTATAAGAGTCAAAGGCTCCTCTGATAAAGCCATGTGGCTGCAAGCCACACACAGCTCAAAAGCTCCTGAGGGTAGACTGTAGAATAAATAGCACCCTACTCATCCCTTTACAGGAGATGAACTGCTTTCGGTGTTGGTATCTATTTTGTTTAATCAATTTTAACTTCTTGGCTTGGAAAGTAAACATGTAACTGACTGTTACATGGACAGAACTGATAGAAATAACAGACTCCTGTTATGAAAAGGATATGGTGCTTGAATGAATGAAAAATTGAAACCGTGCCAAAATTAGCGGTTTATTTTCAAATATGCTATCCAACTGCTACTCAACCCACAGTTGTTCTCCTTCTGCGGACTAATCATCAAAAATTCAAAACACAAAGCTGCGTTTTTGTGTAGAAGTTAGGAGGAGGTTTAAAAAAAGACTGTATTTCACTTGCTAATCCTGGGTTTTTGTCCAAGAGCTGCTCTGGGTTTTTTAGCTGGAATAAATTGAGTCACTGGCATAGGACCACCTACTGAGAAAGCAGACTTTGTTTTATTGAGTACATTCCCGCTTGGGTGCAATATTCCTCTTCTGTCACATGATGGAGCCATCCTGCAAAGGTATAAAAGCACCTTGTAAAATCATAGCTTCAGAGTTGTCTTTTCCTAGGCTGGGTTAGCTAAGGAGCTCTGAGCAGTAGGAGGGTAACGGATTTGGAAGAACTGCCGTCTCCTGTCTAAAGGACAGGACTGAGACCTTATTTGAGCTTAGCATTGGCTGCACATGAGTGGACCTAAACCACAGTCCTTATAGACCTTTGCAGCAGAGAATCTTGGCCTGTTTTCCAAGTGTTGCTGTAGCCTGTCTCTTCTGAGGGTTTGTTTCACTGCTCTTGGGTTGACAGAATATCCCTCACAGGCAGTGCTCTCAGGTGGTGAGATGTGGATCCTTTTGGCTCTGCCACAGGCTCTGCCTGTGTCCCTGGGTGTGTTGTGTGTTATTCATGCCAGAGCAGCGCCTGAGGTTCCAGCAGAGGCTGGCTCTACTGCTCTACTAAACCAAATGAAAAATAAAAGTTCAAATGAAGAGAATGGAGGAGAAGAACAGAGTCAAGACTGGCAAAGATCATGTCGGTTTTTATTTATTCCTTTTTTTGTTTGTTTGTTTTTTAAGCTGTGTTCTGCTGCTGTGGAAATCAGCAGACTTTTCTATTTCCCTGGGGACAGGGCTTGTTGGTTAGTTCATATTGCTGTAGTGGATAAAAATGCTCAAAATAATGATGATGTAAGGTGGTAGAATTTATTTTGCTGGTTTAGGAGGAAGCTTTTCTCCTAGTCTTAACTTCTAGGAGGAGACAACATACTGAGTACTTTCCTTTGAGTTTGAAATGGTTAAGGAACTTCATATGTATTTACTTCTTGATGTGGGTCTGTGGCTGCTGGAAAATAAAAGGCTCCTTCCAGAGCTTCCTTTATGGGTTAAAACATTCTAGTATGAAGAAAGGAGCACTTTGATAGATTCCCACATCATTACTACTGTACCATTAAGTGAATGCAGTGATAACAGCTATACTGGGACTGTTTAATCTTTGTGTATTACTGACTTGTAAGGACATGTGCCCTGAGGTGCAATAGTTGCTTTTGCACTTGAAGTAGATTCTAGCCATTCAGATGGAGAATTGCATTTGTGTCCTAAATAGTATGTGCAAGAGTGGAGAAATGATTTTGGGGGGCTTTTTTGGTGAAATGTCTAGTCTTTTTTTCAAAAAGAAATGAAGAAAAGTGCCTTTGTGACGTTTCTGCCAATGTTGGCATTTGCCACTGTGTGTTCAGTGACATCTTATGCAAATAATCAAAATTTCCAAAAAGAAAGACACTTCTGTTAACTGCATTCACACTGGAAGACTTGTCGGAGACAAGTGAGTGGAAGTGAAACCTGATTTGCTATAAGGTAGTAACAGTTTGTATTCATGCAGTATTAAAGTCTGAAAAAAGTTTTCACGGTAACTTTAAAGCCTGGAAAATTCATGAGAGAAAATGCATCTCTGTGAACTTCTCAGAAAGCTCACAGACCAGGCGAGCCCTCCATCAAACCCTTCACAGAGATCTGTACTTTAATCTATTCTTCCCAAAATATCAAGTGCTTAAGCTGTATTGCAATTCCCCCCTTCCTGAAGAAGGGTGCTAACTTTTTTGTGCACGTTTCTAACGATAGTACGTAAGGAAAGAAAATGGCAGAAATCCATTTTGTCCTTCGGGTGCCCCTTTCAGCGTGAAGGTAGAGTGGCAAGAAGTATGGGCCTGCAATAACTCTTCAGCAGTGGCTGCTTGGTCCTTAGGTATAGAGCTGTTTGTGTGTCAGTATAAGCCTCTTCCAACACAGTTCTGGGGGATCTCCTTTTAATATTGATAGAGACTAGCTTATGCTACACCAAAGCAATTGGCATTGGTTTGATTACTTCTTGCAAAAGTTATGTTCAAAATTGCTTCTTTGGGGGTGGAGTAGCTTCACAGATCTTCTGTTCCTAACTAAACAGTTTCCCAGGCAGGCTGCCACATATTCTAGGCCCTCTTTTTTCTGCAGGGTAGTCTTTGTAATAGCTTTTCAATTCTTCCCCGCAACCAAAAGGCAAGGAGTCTTTCTGCTGATAGCTGGTGGAGAGGGAAGGATTGGGAAAGCAAAAAAAAGAATAAAGGAGAGAGAAATCAGAGGCATTGTCCCCTGTTAACCCATTCATCAACTCAAATTTCTTTCTCTTAGATTCAGGCACCCCTTCTTTTATTCCTACAGCCTTCACTTGAGGGATTGGTTCCTCAGACTTCAAGAGGGCTTTGCAGGGCGTCTCGGGAGTAGGACAGCAATGTTCAGTTTTATCCATAAGGGTGAGGACCAGGTGTGGTCTGCTTCTGCTGTAGGGAAGGAGGAGAGC